CTTCAGGCTTAGGTCTCATCTGAACATTACCTTTTCTTGCCTTTTTGATGAAACTGCTCCTTCCTATTAGCAAACTTAGATATTTCACGCTCACCTTATTATTACACCTTTCCTGTATTGGCCTCGTGCTTGCCTTTCCCAGCCACCTGTAAGTACCAAACAAATCAACACATTTGAGCATAGAGATCTGACCATTTTCGATCAGTATGTAAGCTTCCAATAGTGTACTTGTTTACAGAGAAGGCATTCAAAAATATTTCCTAAATTGATCAGGGTAATACTGTATTTAGGGATCACAGAAAGGATAAACCTTGCTTGTTTAGATTTCCAGAGCTGAGCCAAACAACCCTAGCCACAATCACATTGTGCCAATTGAATGGCACCAGGTCAATCTAGATGAAGATCAGATGAGCTAGTGTCTCTGAGAACGCATCAGAACTGGATGTTGAGATCAGTAAACGTGCAGATTGTTTTCCACGGGAGCTGTTGTGAAGTGGCTTGGAGGGAGAAATTTTGGAAAAAAATACTTTCTTGTTGTATTTGCTTTGCTTTTCCAGGAATACCCAAGGAAATCCAGGAGACGGGAAGAATTCCATCTTGGGAATCTTAAGTCTTTTTAAAAAAATCCAACGAGGTTAAATAATCATGCAAAATAAATAGTTATGAATAACTACAAACAATTCATACTTCTCTGGCAATCTAGGTGATGTTCGGCCAGAGAGGATTTAACAGCAAAGTCTGATCACTGAAGTGTCTCAAGGGCCTAACGTCACATGGTTTTGAATAGGTGGTATCATGCCGTAGTGTACGATGAAAAAATCTGTTCTCAGCTTAGATTCCAAGTGGGAAACCACAATTCTTGCCAAAAAGTGTTCAGGACGCCACACGGTGGGCAGACACCATCACCACGCTTCTCCTCCACATCCCAAGGACAAGTGGTCCAGGCTGAAGAGACAGACCTACATAGTGTCTACCCATTCCAAAAGGCTACCAGGATCCCTAAATACAGTATTACCCTGATCAATTTAGGAAATATTTTTGAATGCCTTCTCTGTAAACAAGTACACTATTGGAAGCTTACATACTGATCGAAAATGGTCAGATCTCTATGCTCAAAGGCTACCAGGGCAGTTGAAGGCCGTGCTTAAGTCAGTGAAATGAGACAAGCCGTGAAGAGTTTCGGAAAGAGTTAAAAAATGTCAACACACAAAAATAGGACAGAGCAAGACAAGGCATAGAAGAGAGTCACCAGGTTGTGGAGGTCAAAGTAGTTCAAATATTCCCTCGATCAGCATAATTAGGGTAGTTACTAGTTCTTTAGAAAGGATGAACTAAAAATGGGTAGAAGCTCCTAAATATCTTTTAGAATTTATACATATATGCGTATATAAATACACTTATGCTTCATTATAGATGCACATGTATATTTACTCATGTGTAGAGAGCTATAAAAGTACATGTTTACATATGTACAGTAAATGCATATGTATTTATTTATGCATAGTGAGCTATACAGAGTAGGCATTCATTAACTGTAAGAGAAACTGTTGAAGCTGCCTTCCTAGGACCGCTAGCTTTAAACACTATTTATGTTATCACATTTGCGTGTTTCTCCCTCCCATCTATTTAGCTATATATCTCTCCATCCATGTCTCGTTAGGCAAATGAGCCTCATTTGTTATATTGATGAATACTGTGGCATCCCGAGAAAGCGCAGTCTTCTGGGTATCGTTCCCCCTGGAATTATGAGATATCGGGTCATTCTGTCTGGCTGTGTGACAGCACACACACCACACCAGGAACAGAATCACCACACGCAGTGAGGACTTGAGACGCGGAGGATTAAGAGAGTGCTGGCGTTCTGTCATCGATCTTGATACACGTCCCTTCCTCTACCCCAGAGCGCTGCTGCACGCTGTACGCCAGTGTGGAGGTGTGGAAGACTCAATCCCTCCTCTACTGGCATAGTTTATTCTCCTGACTGTCTGCTCCATCGTTTTCAAAGAGCGGTATTTCGATACAGGGCTGTTTGGTGTCCAAAATGATGTTTGTGCACAGGGATGTCGCATAGTAGGTGCAGAATGCACTTTATGATAAGTTAGTCGATGGTGGATCCACAGCTAAGCTGCGGTATATAAAGTTGTCATTAATACGGTTAAATTACAAAGTCAAGCAGAACGTTCCCTGCACTCTGGAATATTTCTTTTGCTATTTTTTCTGAAGGTCTTCATCTCCACTGTTAATGAAAACTCCCTAGATCTGGGGCCAGGGTTCAGGGGCAGAGCGCCGGCCTTGGATTAAATCTCCTGAATAAAAAAACAAAAGCACTTCCATTTTGTGATTGCTTCCATTCAGTTCTTATATTGCTCTACCTCTGAATATTTATTCCTCAAGCTTTATCATTCATCTAAGAGGGCCCTTCCTCCTCTCAAACAATCCATTCCTGGCCTATTAAAATTGTCACCCGTTTCAGCTCATCTAGAGATGTCTCTTCTGTGTGATGGGCGTCTCTGTCCGTGGGTGGAAGATTGTAATCTGGTTGGATGTAAATCTTTGGCAACCATGACAACTTTATAACCCTCGAAGCTCCTTGAATAATCAAATTATACATATTTGAAATAGATTTTTCCATTTGGACTTAATTAAAAAAATCTCATTCTCAAATTTTTGAAGCAGGACAGGTCAGAAATCCAAAGTTTGAGTGTGGCCGCTCACCTCCCATTCATCCAATCCCAAGCCGTCACCTGTAATCATTGTAGCTTCTACCAAAAAAATGTACTGACTGTGACTCATTACTTTAGAATTAAAACGTCTTCTCTACTGTCACCTGTCCTAACTTGAAGTTCTTTCATTTCTCAACCCATTCCATGGAAAGAGGTTCTGGAATGAAGTCTCTTCAAGTGTGTCATTTTTCCTCAGAAACTGTCACACAGTGAAAAGGTAATTTGTTAGGTTCTGCTGGAGTCAGACCTAGATGGATGACGCCGGGGCAGGGGTCACTTGAAGAGCTCCTCCTGTGACCGCACTTGGAGTAGCAAGGAAATGTGCATCTGCCATGAGGAGAGGAGACCAAAGAAGGAGCAGATCACAGAAGCAGGATGCGAGTAAGCAAGCTTTGTGGCAGACGCTAACTTCTAGGTTTGTATTTGCGAATTCCAGACCTAAGTGTAAGAGTTACAGGCTCAAAGCGTCAGCATGCTCCGTTTGCATTCGGTTGGTGACTCAGTCCCTGGAATCATACCATCTACTGCAGAGCTGCGGGACCACGCTGTGCTCAAAGTTCCTCTCTGATCATCTAGCCTTGAGACACGTTTACTGACCAATATAAAAGCATTCTGACAACTCAGAAATACTTCCACAAATACTATGGTACTAAAATAACATGGCTAGTGACAAATTAGCATCCCTGGGCCTGGTGTCCACTCCATCATAAACTAGTGGTGAGAAGCGCCATTCTATTAACCTTAGCTTCCTCTTTCTTTCATGAATGAGGATGTTACATCTCCTTTTGTCTGATTTAAAACAAGTACCACGTGAGTGGCTCACACCTGTAATCCTAGCTACTCAGGAGGTGGAGATCTGAGGGTTACAGTTGAAAGCCAGCCGGGCAGAAAAGTCTCTGAGACTCTTTATAATTAACCACCCAAAAGCAAGAAGTGGAACTGTGGCTAAAGTAAAAAAGCTAAGGGACAGTGCCCAGGCCCTGAGTTCAAGCCCCAGGACTGGTGCGTGCACACGTGCACACGCACACACACACACACACACACACACACAACACACACACATTCTCTCTCTCATACACACATATACACATAAAGCATTTTCTTCAAAATACTTTCATTTAACCCCTATTATTTAAGTGAATTTCAGCTACTTCCTGAGGGAAATAAAAAATTTATTTCATGACAAATTGATCTTTATTGTATTTCTAAAGAGCAGAGAAAGACAAACACATAGAACGTTTAAAGTGACTTTATTTTTGCAACAGTCATGTGAAGTAGAGAATTTCTTCATTTTTACAGTTAAGGAATGAGGCTCAGAGATCAAGACATATACCCAGCACCACAGACGCAGCAGCAGACGTAGCTCTCAGGTCTGTCTGAGTTAAACAGCCCAAATGATTTCCAGCATGCCATGTTGGACTGTGCAAGAAAGGAAGGTCTCCATCCTCACAGACGAAGAGGCTGAGGAACAGTGAACTAGTGAACTCCTCAGTGTTGTAGTAAATCCAGCATTGTTGATGGTGTCAAGAAGAAAACCCATCTTTTTTGTTGTTGTTTTGTTTTCTTTTCTTTGAATGGAGAGGAGGCTTAGGACAGGGGACAGGAAAACAGACTTCTTCGTAATATCTGCTAGCCCTGATGCTTCAGAGTTTTTAAATGGTGGAATATGAGAAAATTGAGCTTGCTGTATTTACCTTTTTATTGGGTTCTAATAACACATAGGCTAGTGATTCTAGAGTCTATCCCAGAACTCACACATTTTATAGCCTAGAAACACAGGAGACTTCTTCCTGACAGAGAGTCGATTTCATTTTCCAACTTCATTGAGCCACAGCCGTATACAAGGCAAGCCATGCAGTGACATTTTTCCTCCTAAACTGTGCGCCCTCTGCTCACCACATGGCCCTGGCGTTTGGAGTCTGAGAAGGCTTGAATCCAAACTCTGCTGCTTCTTATAAAAATAATTCCTCTCTGGAAATAATTGGGGGTATTTCCTCAGACAGGCCTCTTTTTCTCCAAAGCCTCACTGAACATAGACACTGTACTTCCTCTTGCTCCAGGAAAGAGTTTCCCCCTGCTTCGGAACTTCCCTCTTTTTGGCTTTTTCCCCCTCTTGTGTTTGGGTTGGCCTGAAGCCTTCCATTCCTTCAGCACATCTGCTTGGTGCCAAGTGAGAGTCAGCGCTCAGCCTTGAAGTATCATTTCTGACTCAATGTTTCAGAAGGAAAACTCCGCCTCCCTGCCTCCTACAGCCTAATTACCATAATACTACAAAACATGACACGGCATCCTTCATCCAACACTGTGAATATCCGCTTTCCACCGCTCAGACTCCTCCAGAAAATGAGCCGGGGACACGTGGGAAGTATGCTGTTAAGCCAGCCAGACCACCAAGGAGCACAGAGATCATTCTGGAAGCCCTGCCTCATCTGCTCAGCAATAATTCTCGTGCTATTGGTTTGCTCCATTGTGCTAGTTGCTTATTTCCTCCTATTCAAGGTAAGGAAGCCACAGAACCTAAGGCTGCTGTTCAATTATGTGTGTCAGTCTAGTCATTGTCATTGCCACGCAGGGCTGGCTGGTGGTCTTGTAATGACATGGGTCTTGAAATTTGCCTAGGTGTTTTGAGACCAAGGATAATGGAAGGTGTTCAATGTTAGCTGCAGAACTGTGGGAGATGGAGCTAGTTGATTTAATCACATGATCGATAGATGTCTTGGTGTTTTGTTTCTTTTTTCCTCCTGGAATTTTGCTACCCCTTTCTTGATAAAATAAAAATCAGGACAAAATATGGTATTTTTTTTCCTCAAGGAGTTACAGGCGAACTATGGTATAATTAAGGGAAAGACATCAAGAGATAATAGAAGACAGGATACAGCAGTTGACAGATGATCAGTGTATCACTGAGGAGAAAAAGAGCAGTAAATTAGGACTGGGAAGAGCTGGATGCTAGGTCTTGTTTTCTGAGTAGCCAACTGTACAAATTTGAGAAGGCCATTTGGTCTCCCTGGTTTTCAGCTTTTCCATCTGGGAGGTAGGGGAATAGATGTATTTAATGTTTGCACTAGTAGTACTATTGGCTATAAAATACTGTGATCTATGATTTATCCAAGAGTGGTATGGAGTGTAATGCTGTGGGAATTCAAAGTGGAGCCAGGACTCTGGGCTTGAGGTGGTGGGGGTGGGGGGCTTCTTGGATGAGGGGGGGAGAGCATGTCTGTTTGGGAAGCCCCAAAATGCTACTCAGGAATTTCCCGAGGAGCTGCATTCTAAGCTATGTGCCTTAAGAATGGAATCTGCACTGGGGATGGAGACAGGTGAGAGTCTTTACTAGCAGTGTTTTCTGTTGGCGATCCAGTAGGACCTGAAAGAAAATGAGAAAACTGTAATTCAGGAGCCAAGCACTTTCTGGGTACATGTGCAGATTCTGAGTCTTGGGGAGAATAAGGTGGCGCATGTGTATCTGAGACAGGGCTTGGGAGTGAATGGAGAAGCATTTTTCTAAGAGCATTGACCAGAGCAGAGTTCAAAGGTGTGTGTGTGTGTGTGTGTGCCGGATGTCTGCAAGACTAGTTCCAATGGGAAGGCCGGGCACCCGCTGGCAGTGGAGCCACTAGCTCATGCCCTCCTCTTTCTCCTTGCCTGCACTTCCTTCCCCTGTTACCCCACAAATAAATATTCTAGAAGGAAGCCCTGGATGGGCGCCAGCGGTGAGTCACCGAGTCACTGCACGAGCCGCCACGCCCACCTGCACAGGACCGGCCGCGGCCTGGCAGCGATGCTGCTCTCCATTCTGTACCTTCCCTAGACACGAACTGAACTCCTGTTCAACGAGGAGTTTGGCTCCTTTTAGACCAACAGAAATATCCTTGGGTGATAATCATCCCTTCCCTTCTTCTAGTAGACATTTCACTAAAAAAAAAAAAAAGTGAGCTAAAAAGTTTGGTCCACCCTTCAGTATTAAACAACTTTACAGAATTTGTCCAGAGAGAAAACAAGTGTGGAGGAAAGTCCCTTCCTGCAGTGAACAGCAGGATGCTTCCCCCCGGGGAAGTTTCACTCGCACTGAAAAGCAGCGTGCATTTTATTCCACATGATAATCTGATTAGGGTGGACGGGAGAAAAATGTATTGCGTTTTGGCCATTTTGAGTCCAACCATGTAAGAGGAAGTGCGGCTATAAGAACTCCTGACCCTCTGTGCGTGTGTACAGGTGGGTGTCTGTTCCTTCCGCACACGGCTAGATTATAAATAGAAACCGGGTGAGAGTTTTGGAGATGACAGGCTGCCCTTGGCCCTCAGCCCAGCCTCCCATCAGCCGCGTGACCTCAGGGATTAATTACCCAATCCTGCTGGCCCGTTTCCTCATCCACAGAAGGGGTGTGCTCATTCTTACAGTTGCCTCCGAGATCGGTGATAAAGTACAGTGCCTGACAGGCACAGTCTGAAATTCCTATTCTAATCGAGGTTACACTGGTTTAGTCTTTATGCTTTTGACTGTCATCACTGAAAAATTATCTCAGAAGGAGATATGGATTGAAATGGAAGAACACACCTTTTCACCTTCTTAAAGGAATTCTACATTAATGTTATCCTTTGCCCGTTCCCTACCTTTCTCTCCCTGTGTCACTGGATTCCATAGTCTTTCATGATAACCTCTGCGTGACTAATCTGACATCTTCCTCTCTCTCTCTTTAGTCTAATCTAATGCTGAAACCATCCATGGAAAGCTTCCAACGCTGATTAAGTCCAACTGTGCTGTGTCTCAGGAAAGAGCCAGCCCTTTTGAAAGTTCTAACTTAAATCCACTCACTTCAAGTGGGACTTTCATGCTGCTGTAAAAAGCCTGCGTTTCCCCAGTCCATTCGTTCTTCTCTACTGAACGGCTTCGTATGTGTGGTTCTCTTCAAATATCCAATAACATCCCCCTTAACTCTGCTGAGAACTTTGTCTCCAGGTCCTAAGAGAAAGCAGAGGTTGGAAATAAAGAAGATCCAAAGCCCCCAAGACCTACCCTGCACCTACACCGTGTGCATGGACACTGCCTTCTCTCCTTCCCACAGATACATTTCCACATGCCCACCGGGTCAACCCACAAAATAGATCCTATTGTGTTACTTGCTCAAGGATATTGCTATAATTCTCTCCTTGCACTCATGTATGACTCCTCCATCAGTGTACAGGAACATTCTCGTCAGACAATGAGCCTGGCACCCTGGCTACTCAGGAGGCTGAGAGCTGAGGACTGTGGTTCCAAGCCAGCCTGGGCAGGAAAGTCCGTGAGACTCTTCTGTCCTAGGAGCCAGCGAAAAGCCTGCCGTGGATCTGTGGCTCACGCCTCGCATCACAGAGCTCCGGGACAGCCTCGTCCGTGCCACGAACCCTTGCGGGCCACATGCCCCGCTCTCCACTCGTTGTTGAGACAGTGTCTCAGTGTGTCGCCTCGGGTTGCCTCAAACGCTCCATCTTTAGGCCTCAGTGCCCAACAGCTGCAGTTCCCAAGCAGACGCTGGTGTCTCGGGGCCAACTGGCCCTCTCCCGAGCGCTCATCTCCTCCCCTAGCCCGGCAGGCCTCCCTGCGTCCTTCCTAAATGCAGGATGCCGGACGCCGTCTCCCTGCCTTTGACTCTGCCTGCTTTTTATTTAAATACTCACATTTGTAAAGTTTGCCGTGTTGATGTTACCTTTTTAACATGGAAACTACGGGATGCGGCAGTCATTTCAAACTCGGGGATCTGCTTCTGCAGCCTGTCTTGGTTGTTGAGATTATCTGGATATTAAATAGGGGTGGCTTTATCAACCCGAATTGTACATATTTATAGAGCTGGTTTTGTATGATTTTAGGTAAGGATAAACATAGGAGTTGTGTTATTTTCTTCCCACTTGCCAATAAATCACCTTGTGAAGGCACTGGGATGCGGAGGCTGCTCTTCAGAAACGGGAGGGGGGACACGATCCGGTGCTTTTCCTGTACGGGAGGTTAGGTGGCTGGAATAAGACATTGTGCTCTGTTAAAAACCAAAGCGGGGGTGACGTCAAGAAAAGGTGAAGGACACAGCCAGCCATCTGTAAGAAGAAGTTGGGAGCGTTGAGACGTGGGGCAGGGGGGTCTTTTTATGGCCCTGTCAAGTTCATTTACATCAAATGTGTGGTTAATCAGAGCTACTGCCCGCAGCCTGACTGATTGTTCTCTCCTTCCGCAGCAGCCCGCTGGAGAGGCCTGCGTAGCAAAGTTCGGTGAGTAGCCCCCCTTCCACGCCTCCCTTCCACGTTGCCTAGCTGGTGATGGCTGAGGCCGGTGGTAGTGTGCACCGCAGATTTGTCTGTTTTGTTCCCATTTCAGCTGCTGTTTACGGCCACTTGTCAGCCGCTTGGTTGGTGAAGCTCACGTTTAGGATCCCATCTGTGCAAAAATACATGTCACACTTAAAGATGTGTGAGCCTGAGACTGAGCAGTCAACTTGTATTTCTGTTCCACTAAGGACAGATATTTGTTTGTCTTTAAATAGTTTCCATCCTTTCTTTCCTTAACGTCCTGCTCGCATCTCACGTGGCTGATGTCCAGAGGAGGCACCAGAAGCCGCATTTCTGTTAATAAACGTAAGGAGGAGAAGTAGAGACATAGGGCCCCAGTGTCTCGGCAATTACCTCCGCTTAGCTTCCAAATCAGTTTTCTTATGCACACCCGACACTGGATTAGAAAAAAACGACGAGAATTTACAGCTGCATCAGAGTGGGGTGCGGTCTGGGCAGCCCCGGCAGCGAGTTTGTGGGACTCACAGCCCAGTAGCCAACAGGAAAGCGCAAGTGGAGCTCAGCGTAGCAAAGCCGTGCCTTTGAGCACAGCAGCTGAGGGACAGCACCCAGGCCCTGAGTTCGAGCCCCAGGACTGACAAGAACAAACAAACATAGTGCTGGACTCATCAACGTCGTTGTTAAATGGGAACTCCGCTTTCCTGTGAAGTTGAAGATGGACACCGTGGCCTCTGGGGGAGACGTGAGGCGTGGCGTGCTGGGGGGGTGAGGGGAGGGAGTGGAGGGGGATACAGAAAGCTTCAGGCCAGGCTTTGCAAGTCTGTGGCTTTGGCATAGTAAAGGAATTCACACGTCACGCAGGCCGGGCTCCGGGAGGGGCGTGCAAATCCCGAGCAGATCTCTGTGCAGCCAGGTGTGGCCTGTTTGGGGAAACTGAGGCACCTGTAACCTGGAGGGGTGGGAAGAGTGGCCTTCACGGTCGGAGGCTGCAGATCCCATCAGCAATGAAGCCACCTGCAGGTGGTAAAGAACGTGTTCTAATCGAGAAGAGGATAACAGCGTAGAATTCATGCGCCTTCTATTTTTTTCTCACAGGACCATTTCCTGCAAAATGGCAAATGACATCTCCTGAGCCTCCTTGTGTGACTGAGATGTCTGGCATGAAGCTGAAGGTCCTTCAGAACGGCTTGTACTTGATTTTTGGAAGAGTGGTTTTGGATAGAGCGTATGAGGGTCTTGCCCCTTTTGCAGTACAGCTACGTAAGAATGGAGACATCTTAGAAACTCTGACAAGCAACTCCCAAGTCCAGACATTAAATGAGATTCACGAATTGCATGCTGGGGATATAATACACTTATTATTCAACAGTGAAGACCAGATTCTAAAAAATGATACATACTGGGGAGTCCTTTTAGAAGCGCGCCTTCCGTTCATCTAGAGATTTGATTTGGTTTCCTCCTCCTCTTCGTGTATTTAGGCAAGCTGGTGAGTTGGAGGAGGGGCGGGGGTGGATTTCCAATGTGGACAGTGTGTCAGGGATTCAAATCAATACAAATTCTGCATAGGAGATCCTAGGTTTGTGAGTGCGTCGACGGCTTTTAGCCAGCCCTGGTCTGGGGCCTGCAAGGAACGATCATACAATGAGTATGAGCTCCACAGGGTAAAAACTTCCCAGAGTCTCCCTCAAAACCTGGAATCTCTGGATACAGGAAGGAAGTCCTGTCCATGGAGCTGGTGTGCAGAAAGGTCTCGGTCTCTTGCCCTGGTCTCATTTTCTTAAGCTGCTTTATTAAGTCTTTCCATTTCTTAGCCCACCAGGGCCTATCTGCCCGCAACAGCCTGCCTTAGATGTAGCATTTCTGTAGATCAAAGTTCACTGAAAAACCATCGGGACAGAGGTGGGAATGGCATGGAATTTACTTTATCTTTGAATTTCACCTGGTTTTTATTCTCAGGACGCAAGTTGCTTTATAAAGCTAATTAGTGAAAGGGATCATTCCAAACTTTGGTCTAGTGGTAGATTAAGAGGAACCAGTAGTACCCATTAGATTTAACTCCGGGAATTGGTATTACTACTGCTAGTTTTATTTATATAGGCATTATATAATTTTAGCTATTTTTTCCTGTTTGCAGAATATGTATCACACAGCAACTCTATTAAGTTAATAGACTAGTGTGTTTGGAAAAAATGTTCAGTGAAAACAGAAGAGTACATAAGCATTAGATTACGGTCTCAGTTCAGCACTAGCGATGGGCAGATCAAATAAGATTTCCAATGTATCACACCATTTCAACTCTACTACTGCTATCTCATTTTAAAGATGCATTGCCCTTCGGCACATTGAAGCTAAGTGAGCTCTTTCCTTTACCAGAAGACTTATTCTTCTTTCCTTGCCAGGAGCAGGGAGACCCGGGTGCTGCTCAGGGCTCACTCCAAACCCCCCCCCCCCCAGGAGCTCTTCACAGTCAAATGTGCTGTCACTCAAAAGTTATAAGTAGCATTCAACTCCAAAGCCTGCACTCTATTGAATGTGTTGCTTGTAAGTTCTTTAGGAATGTATGTACTATTAAATTTTGAATCAGTTTAGAATATTTATGGGTATCTGTGGAAAACTACGTTAATATATTACATGTAAACCTAATTTAAAAACATTTGCATTGTGTACCACAGCATTTCTTGGGTGTGCTAAGCTATCTCTTCCTATTTTGTGTAACATCTGCTGAGTACTAATATGGCCAAACACTTGGCACGAAACCTTTTGTATTTGCCTATCTCCTCAGGAAATTAAAGTTGTGTCATAGGTATTTATAGAACCTTGGCTGTTGTATTATGAGCAGCAGTGTGCTGGAGTGAGCTAGTATAAGAGCTGATTATTATATTGTCAGATTATTAAATCATCAGGAAATTTGTACTCTGGCTTTTAAGTATGGCCATAATTAAAACTGGCGATGTGTGGGGAAAAGTGGTCAAGGGAACAAATCACAGCTTTTGCTTTTGGAAAATTTGTTCACTTTGTCTCTTTTGTCTCTGCCTCATTTCTGGGACAATTAAGACAGGCAGAGAGAGAGAGGGAGAGAGAGAGAGGGAAAGAGAGAGAGAGAGAGGGAAAGAGGGAAAGAGACAGAATAGCTTTGCCTACAAAGTAATGATTTCTCAGGGCATGCGGAGGTTTCTGTACATAAAGATGACAGTCAACAGATAATAATTGAACAAGTGAATTTCCTGGCAAGTGTTAGGTAAAAACGAGAGTGGGTGTCTGTCATCACCTCTGGCCGTGGCTGCTTCCATCCTGATGAATTAGACAGCTCCACCCCTGACCTCCGTCCTTCCCTACTCCACCCTGACAAAGCTCAACCATCAAAGCTGCCATTGATCTGTTCCACACACACACACACACCACACACACACCACACACACACACACACACACACACACACCACACACACACACACCACACACACACACACACACCACACACACACACACCACACACACACCACACACACACACACACACACCACACACACACACACACCACACACACACACACACCACACACACACACGCACACACACACACACCACACATACACACACACCACACACACACACACACACCACACACACCACACACACACCACACACACACCACACACACACACACACCACACACACACACACACACCACACACACACACCACACACACCACACACACACACACCACACACACACACACACACACACACCACACACACACACACGCACACACACACACACACCACACACACACACACACCACACACACACACACACACACACCACACCACACACACACACACACCACACACACACACCACACACACACACACCACACACACACACACTCACACACTCCAGCCCTAGTGTTAACACGTCAGGGCTGGTATTCAATGCCTGCTGTGTTCTTTGTCTGTAATTAAAAGCTATAATAAGATGTAAGTCAGTACATGGATTTTTCTTTGGGTATCACACTAGAGTTAGCAATCTGGGGAATATGAAATCATATCAGAGAAACTCTTCATGCAGATGAACACTTGTTGGCAAGTGTTAGGTAAAAATGAGAGCGGTGTCGTCACCTCTGGCAGTAGCTGCTGCCATCCTGATGAGTTAGGCGGCTCCACCCCTGACCTCCATCCTGATGAGTTAGGCGGCTCCACCCCTGACCTCCATCCTGATGAGTTAGTTAGGCGGCTCCACCCCTGACCTCCGCCCTTCCCTACTCCACCCTGACCAAGCTCAACCATCAAAGCTGCGCTGGGCTGCCTCACACCCGTGATCCTCCTCAGAGCTGACGCTGATGTAGTTTGTAGTATTGAACTGTGGATCGGTCCCTGCTTCCGAAGGGTAGCCATGAACTGAGAACCAATGTCATCTTGTGCATTTGATGGAATAATAAATTCGTAATTAAGTATTATCTACACATCATGGAGAGCACATTCCTTCCCCTTTTGATCTATCCTAATTCACAACTTCATTTTGATGTGGGGTACCTTTTTCTTATTATAAAGGAGAAGCAAAAACATGGAGAACTGGAAGGTCCGCAGCTTGCGTATTCCTTGCAGACAGAAGCCACAAAGCATGGCTTGGTCCTGTAAGCTGGGAGAGATGGAGCCCGCCGAAATGCGGGGAAATACCGTTTCCAGCACCACGCCGCTGGTGTCTCTCTCCCTATGCATTGTTTGGGTGGAATTAGACTACGTGGCTCACAGTGAGCTTTCAGAACCAGGCACCAATGCGTTGGATGTCCTGACTTCAGGAACTATATTCCTGGCCCTCCTAAGAGTTCCTGATTAAGCTTCAAAATGAGCTTGTCATCGCTGCCTGCCCTTCCTGGGTCACAGCATGGCTACAGCTCTCTATGAATGCTCTCAACAGTTTCTGCTGCCCCAAATGGCCTCACACTGTGTCCTCGATCGGACTATCGCAAGGTGGACAAGAGGAGGCAAAGTATACACCCTACTTACTGCTGGGAAAGTATACACTCTACTTACTGCTGGGAAAGTATATACCCTACTTATTGCTTGTACACAAATTCAAAATGTTCAAAACCGTCACTAAAGGATTGATTAAATATGAGCTGACTTACAAGGGAGAGAGAAAAAGAAAAAGTTACTGGGAAAATAACTTTCCTTTTCTGTGACTCGCTGTTTTGTCTGTTTTGTTTGTTGCTTATCCAGATTCTGACAAACCAAAGTCAAATTTCTGTTGAATCAAAAATACATTTTAAATATGTTTAAAACACCAACTAATATATTCAAATCTCTTGGACTCTACACAGGTGGTGGCCACCATCGCTTTTATGTCAGTGAAAGACTGAGATTTATTTCTACGGTTTTGGAGTTGTTTGGTTCCCAAGTTAAGAGAGTTTTATGTAACATCTACCTATCTCTTACTGTCCCTCCCAGAGAAAAGCAAACTTCAAAACAAAAGCAATTTATTTATTTACTTCTATATCAGCAACTCCTATAGCAGTGTCTGAAATAGTTAAGTATAGAAAATATTAACATTAATAAATGAAATGACACAGCCCCTTCTGCTATATGAATGATCAGTAAGACATGAGGCATAGGTTTCTGTCTCTCAAATGATGTGTTTTCTTTCATCCCCCATGTTTTAAAAACTCTAAGGTGGATAATGCATGGAAAATTCTAAGGGCATAGCTAATAAATCACAACAAACACTGCTCTCACTACTGTGTGGTCTCCTCATTACCATGGTGCCCATAATTTCATTATCCTTGGATTCGTGGGAAGAGGTATCCTATTGTACAGTAAGGTCCATTTACCATGATGATGGTTTCATCAAATTTTAGGTTAAGCCATGCCTTTGCCTTTTATTAAATACTATATGACAAACAGCCACGTATATCTCCCCCCCGCAGAAAAAAAACCAGTTCTTTGAACACGGTCTTAAATGCTGCTCTTCATTCTTTAGGGAAAACATATTCAGAAAACCAGACCTCTCACAAACTTAAAGCCAAATGTCTAGTATTTCCCTACCATAAAGTAGTCTGTGGAATTTTGTTTTGTGAAGTCATCATAGGTGTTCATCATCTTGAATTTTGTATTAGTTACTTCAAATAGACATTTGTAGAAACACACATTGTGGTTTTTGAGCACAGATGCTAAGATGTTTTTGGTGGGATTTTCTTCAAGATGGTGGTAACATTACAATGTCTGAGAAATTGTCTTCAGTTTTGTATGTGTCCAAGAAACTCAATTTTGCCAGTCCCAGAGTTTATAAATTTATCAGGCATTGCGTAATCAAACGCACAAGAGAGTGAATTGAATGTTTTTTAGCCAATGTAGTGTGTGGCTAGGGAGCACTCTATGGGAATTCAAATTATAACTAGAAGCTGGGCACCAGTGGCTCACGCCTGTAATCCTAGCTACTCAAGAGGCTGAGATCTGAGGATTGCGGTTCAAAGCCAGCCCGGAAAGAAAAGTCTGT